GGTTCCCTGCCCACGTAAACCAGGGCACTGATTGATGATTTGTGGCTCTCACCTTGTTCTGACCCTGCTGCTCTGTGCAACCCAGCTGTGGTTTGTTTCAGGATTAATAACAGGTAATCAGCAGTGTGGTGACAGTGATGTGCCATGTACCAGGGAGCAGCATCCTCCTGTGGGTCAGGACCATATTCCTAAAATGAAAGAAATGACAGAGTTGGTCAAGTTTGATGCTACTTGTACTTTACAATATGTGTAGTTACAGGACCTGGTATTACATACTCAGCCTTATGAAATTGCTGTCATGTATTTCACTGTTACTTGACATAATATGAAGCTGTCTCAGGGGAGGGTTAGGCTGGATATTGGGAAAAGGTTCTTCCCCCAGAGGGTGGTCAGGCACTGAACAGGCTCCCCAGGGCAGTGGTCACGGCCCCAAGGCTGCCAGAGCTCAAGGAATGTTTGGACAATGCTCTCAGGGACATGGTGGAATTGTTGGGGTGTCCTGGGCAGGGCCAGGAGCTGGATTTTGATGATCCTTGTGGGTCCTTTCCCTTTGATTCTGTGATTGTATACCAGGTTATATGCCTTGTTCAGGTCATGGCCAGTAAGAGTCAGAGCAAAACTGAGAGCAGCTCTGCATGCAGTTCTGAGCAGTTACTGTGAACATTATGTCTTGCATACTGTGTGTCCTTGAATTATGGAAAAGATTTTCATGACCCAGCATGGCTCAGCTTTTACCTGAGGATACCTTTTACCTTAGGAGACCTCAGAGCACATGCTGCAATTTTTGTGATGCCAACATAGTAGGAGCACTCAATTCTGGGGAATGCCTGCAGGAGCTTTCTCTTGAAAAACACAGGACAGGCATTGCCTTGAGCAAAATGAGTCTGGTTCCTGCTGATACAGAGCTGAGATGACCAGATTCAGTCAGCAGCACCCTTTACCTGTGTTGTTTAAAGCTCTGCCTTACCTGAGAATAACAAATTCTTGCCATACATGCTCCTGTACTAGATGGGACCTCTCCAGCCCCATCTTCAAGGTCACAGCCTGATTGGAGTCTCCTTGGGAAAAGTGTCCAGGAGTCCAGCTCATGCAAAGCCTGCCCAGCACCTGAAAAGCAGCAGGTTAGAAACTTCCTGAGCACTGAGACCTTTGTTAGAGCTTTTTCAGCACTTCTTCATGAAGCTTCCCAACCCCTTTTCTTGAACCTGTTGACTCCCACCACACCTTGTGACAGTCTGTCCCGACCTCCGAGCTGTGGGAAAAAGCTTCTCCTTCTGTTTGAAGTATCATAGCAGATCCAGTATTGTCACACAGCAGGTAGCTGGAGATTAGATTAGGTATTAGGAAAGAATTCTTTACTGGGTTGGAAGGGACTCTAAAGATCATCCAGTCCCACCCCCTGCCATGGGCAGGGACACCTTCCTCTAGACCAGGTGGCTGAGTTCAGTCCAGCCTGGCCTTGAACACTTCCAGGAATGGAGCAGCCACAACTTTTCCAGGCAACCTGTGCCAGGGCCTCACCACCCTAAATAATGCCAAATAGCCTGGGCTGAATGCCAGTTCAGTATGAGAGAGAAATGTGTCTCCAGTTTTTATTGCACTGTATTTATCTGTAATCAATTTAATCTGTTTGCAGATCCTTTATAGCATTCAATGATTAGCTTGATAACTTGGAAAAGAGTCAAAAGCACTGGACGTTTGTTGTGCAGGGAAAAACATGGAGACAGCAACAAAGTGTTGCAGAAGTTGCCAAGGAATTTTTTTCGTCCTTGTTACATAAATGGGGAGTGCTCCTTGAATCCTCCAGCTGATGTGGTTGGAAGTGATCTTTTTTTCCATCTTCTAGGAGCGAAGATGCTCTTTATCAGTGTTTATTTGTAGGTTCCTTGGTCCCTCTCAAATCTCAGAGTGGTGTGACTGCATTTCCACGTGCAATCAAAGGGTCAGTGACACTTCTGGCCTCACAGTATTTGTGTTTTCTTTGTCCTGCAAGCTCTGCTGTGCCCCCTGCATGGTAGCACAAACTGCCCTGCCAAATAACAGGTGGCTGCAAAAGCTGTTCTGTTTTCTGGGACGTGTTGTCTCTTGCAGAAATGTGAATAATTGCTTCCCAAGAAACTACTGGAGAGGTTCTGTTCAGCTTTTTTGTCCTCAGGTGCCTTTGTTGCATTTTGCCATATCTCAGCAGTGGGACCAATTCTGAGCTTGTCTCCTTTTCCTTATTTTTTCCTTAAAAAGGATGATGTTTTGCAGATGTCTACGTATTGAAAATACATTTCCAAGCAGAACTGAACCAACAGCCATCTGAAAATACTGTCAAGTCCCAAGTCTGAAGGTAAGGAAAAGCATCAGTCTTAGATACCTGGCACCATTATCATTTTTATTTAAATAAAGTTGCATGTGATCTGAATAATAGGGTGCAGTGGGGTGCATCCATATACTACCAGTTTATGGCCTGTTTATGAAGCCAAGACATGTAGGATGTTACTTCAAAGGCTTTCAGAAGCCAAATAGTCATAAGGATATTTACAAACTTTAAATCAAATCAAAAATCCTTGTGCAGTGCAGTTAGCTCTGTTCCAAAGAAAACGAGATGCCAGCTTGTCCTGTAAAACAAAAGTGATGCATTGGCACACTAGGAGAGACTTGAATTTGCTACATTTGCCCACTGCAAAATGCCTGAATAACAATCACAGACCCAGAAAATTTTTTTTTTCTTTAACTTTAGGATAGAAAACTGCAACAGGCCACTACTGGGTTTTCCTTGTACCTGGAGCTTGTTTCCACTGCTCTGTGTCCAGCTGGCTGCAGTGGCTGTGGCATAGATGGGTGTTAAATTGGTCACATACCATGCCAGGAATGAAAACTTGGATTTCATGATTCCTGTTTGAAAACCAGAGAGTGCCAGGCAACGTCCTGTCTGCACTTGCATTGTTCAAGATAAAACCACGTGTCCAGCCCAGCCTTGCCCAGGATGGAGCTAAACAGTTAGATGAGTTTATAGTGGCAACAAAGAATAACCCTGAAAGATGCATTTGAAAACAAACAGTTTCAGCAGTCAACTGTAGTGACCTTGCTTTGGAAGGCAGTACAACCTTGGCCAGCTCAAGGTCACCTGAAGTTCTGTTGTGGGTTTCTTTTTTTAAGCTTTCTGCTACACATTTTCCAGAGCAAATGTGAAGTGTTTGCAGTTTCTGCCCTTGCCTCGCCTCATACAGTAAAAGTGATTTCAGGGGTGTGCACAGTGTCACCAAGTGTGTTCTTACATCCTCTCTGCCGGGATGGATAACAGAAAGTGGCCTCTCCTCAGTGCCCACAGCTGGAATTTCCAGCACAGAGAGAACCATGCAGAGAGCCAAACACATTGGAAAGCCAGCTGGGACAAAGAGCTTGAGAATTGCAGGGAAAATATGGAATATTTTAAAGCTAAGTATACAAAAGCAATGGGGAATTTACACGTAAGAAAAGGGAGAAAAAAATTTTAAGGAAGGATAGCTGGGGAGGTTTGGAGACAGAAGGAATGGGAAAAAGAACTGCTTACGAAAGCCTCTACCTTGGAGATGTGGAAGACCATGGCTATATCAAGGCTTACCAAGCTATATGAAAGGATCATCTTTTAAGGACAGGAGGAAAGACAAGGCCAAGGAAAGATACAGTCTGTTACTGGGAGAAGCAAAAGGGAGTTATCAACAATGCACCTTAAAATACGTGAGCTGTGGAGGAATGACAGAGAATAAAGAATTGATATAAATAGATAAATACATTGAGCAGCTGCCTCCCTGCCATGTGCTCTCATTTTCTCTGCTGCCAGAGAGCACGGATGTTTCTTATTTATTTACTTCTAATTACTGAGATACAGACTGCCAATGATGAGATAAATGTAGCTCAGAATGCTGGTCTTCCCCTTCTCTTCCCTCAGGGTGTCTCCCCAGCATCTCTATAAAAACCTTGTGAAAATGCCACTTCTCCAGACCCCACACCATCTCTCCAGTGCCCTGGGCTCTCAGCCCTCTCCCCAGTCCCAGAACAGTCAGTGCCAGGAGCAGAGGCAGAGGCCAAGCTGCCTGACTTCCAGGCATTTATCCACCTGCATGGGGCAATGGCATATCCAACAAAATCTAAGAGACTAGGTTGGTGAAAAAGAGATGGAAAAGAAGGAGGGGAGCATGAGAGGAATGGGTGTGGATCTGATGTAGGTTGTTGGCAGGGATCATAAGGGCAGAACAGTCATAGCTGGTATTTATGAGGCTGCTGTTTCCACTCAGGATGATGGGACGTTCCCTTTTTTCCTGGCTGCAAGTGCAGTTGTTCACCTTTACATACAAAAAAATTCCAACCCTGCACTTTGCTGAATTGTGCTTATTTTGTGCAGTAAAATCCCTTGTTATCCATGCTGGTCTCTAAAAAGGCATGCGAAAAATGTGGATTGTGCAAATTTCACACATACTGAGTCCTCCTGTCTGCCTAGAAATAACCTGTGTCACCACACCTTTGCTGTCTGGGCAGACAAACCTCTGTTTTACAGAGCCTCTGTGGTGGGTGCTGTGGAAGAACTACAAGGACAGAAAAGTCATTCTGGAACAAGTTTTGCTTTTTGGCACAAAAGCTTGTCCAGAATAGATGAAAACCTGAGTGGAGAAGCCCAGCAGGACTTGTGTTCATTCAGTTTATACAGAGCCAGAGCAGGAAGGTTTCTTTTCATTGTTCCCCTTGTTTAGCAAACACTTCTCCAGATACCAGCAATACTTTTAATCTGGCAGGAGCACTTTTATAAACCCCTTCAATTATTCTTCATGTCCAGAGTAAGTTTCTATCAAAAATACTATCTCAGAATAATGTTTGTTTTCAAAATACAGCTCTCTTTGTCCCGCTGCACTGTCTTCATTGGCTGGAGCGAGATAAAAGGGCTTGGCTGAGTAACTCAGACCTCAAGGGAAGCAGCACATGGTCCAGGTTCACAGTTGTCAGCCTTGTGCCTCCTCTGTTCAGGGTGTGCTGCAAGGTGGAGACAGGTCTGTCCACGGGGGGAGAAGCTCTGGGTAGTAAGGAAACTACCAGTGTGTCTCCTGGCAGCCAGAGGTAAGAGATTTGGGCTGGGACTAGTGGTGTGAAATGAATGTGTAGGGCAGGGGAATGAGATTTCTCATCATCCCAGTTCAATTTCCGAACTACAGTCACTCTGAGTCTCCTCTCAGGAACATTTTTCTCTGTGTGTACCGTTCAGTTTTGACAAAAAGGTACATTTTGTTGCAGGTGCATTTTGGCTGGAAAGCTTGGATGAGCTCTGGAAAGTGTCTCTGTTACTTAACCAGACAGAAAAAGTAGGATGGTTTCATTCTGCAGATGGGAGCCCCTGTGATGTGCATGTTTGGTGCAAGCCAGCAATGTAATTTACAATTTTGTAGTGTTGAAGGAAAAAATATTTTGCAAATTACCTCCCTTATTCACATGCTGCATTCCTAAAAGTATCACTCGGAATATCTCAACATTTTCAAAATAGTTTTTGCTTAAGTAGAAGTGCCACTAAGAAACACAGACTTCCTGAAGGAGTTTTAGTTTCAGTGAAATAATATTGTCTGATTTTAACCCATTCTGCTGTCATGTTTCAAAACAAGAGGTATGTTAGGAAGGAGCAAAGGGGTCTCTGTAGTTCTGCCCCTGATATGGGAACCTGTGCCAGCATGAATGTATTTAAACCATAGGCTCAAGATTGTGGTTAATCAGGTAAATGACAACAAATAAATCAACCAGAACTATGGGAAAGTGCTTTTCTGTTTGGTTTGTCTGAGGTTATTTTCCTTTATTTATTTATTTATCTATCTGTCCGTGCAATCTGCATGAGGCCTGGAGCTAAGCAAAGCAAATTGTGTACATGACTGCAGCCCTTCCTGACCGCCTGCTCTCCTGCCTTAGCTCTCCTGGTGCCATGGAGGACACGTCCAGCCAGAAGTCCGGACCAAGCAAAGACACACTGGGCTCCCCAGTGCCACAGGAGACTCCTGCCCATTTCATCCACGTCAAGTTGGAGGAGTATGAGCCCACAGACTTCAGCACCAAGGAACTCATCCTAAAGAAAGCCAGAGAGGTCTGCACATGCAGTCATCAAACCATCATCACCTTCCTGTGCCGGTTGTTCCCAGTGCTGGACTGGCTCCCCCGTTACAACATCAAGACACAGTTGCTTGGGGACGTCATATCTGGGCTCCTGGTGGGGATAGTCAGCATCCCTCAGTCCGTCTCCTACTCCCTCTTAGCCAACCAGGATCCCATCTACGGGCTCTACACCAACTTCTTCTGCAGCATCATCTACTTCGCCATGGCCACTTCGCGGCACAACTACGTGGGCTCCTTCGGGGTGCTGTGCCTGATGGTGGGGCAGAGCGTGAACCGGCACCTGCGGCTGGCGGGGTACGGCGACGACAGCTCCGACAGCTCCCCACTGCCGGGCAACGCCACCTCCGCCGGCAACGGGACGGGAGCCTGCGACAGGAGCTGCTACGCCATCACCGTGGCCCTTTCCTTAAGCTTTCTGGTTGGCATTTACCAGGTACGAATGTTTGCTCTTGTGCTGTTTCCTCCCTGTCCTTTCCCTGCTAGGAATTTCTCTGAGGTTAAGATCTCTAAGCTCCAGTCTTGGTTTGGACTTGTAAGTTGTGAGAGACATTTCCTGGTGTGACTAGACCCCAACATCCTTGACTCCCTGTGAATGTAGTGATTTTAAAATGTGCAAATGCAGCCGAGTGGGGGGTTTTGTTTCCCCCATGTGATAGCCCAGATCCTTGAATGTGTCTGAAACATCCTCATAATCAGACACAGCAAGGGAGAAGAGGAACTGTGAACCACCTTCCCACCACCCCAGTCCTGGACCTGGGCAGCTTAGAGCAGATTTGGGGCTAACAAGAACCACCCTCAAGGACCCTGCCATGCTCCCTGGCAGTGTCCCCGCTGCCTGGGCTTAGCTGTCACTGGACAACTCCAGGCTTTTTCACTGGGACAGCTAAAATTTAGAGCATCACAATGGTTTTATGCCACTGAGTGATACTCAGAGCTGCTTTGGTGGGGCTTCTGCCTGGAATCTCAGTGTTAACCATGTACCCTTATTGCTTCTAAGGAGGAAGTAGCAGGGACCTCGTAGGCTTCTTTGTATGGCATCCCTATAGCCACAGACAGGTGTTAGAGATAGGTCTCTTTAATTTTTCATATGCCAGATTAACTACTGAAGACAAAGTCCTCTGCCTCACACTGAATGCTCATCAGACAGAGTAGCCAAAGCTGCTAAACTGGAAGCAAACTGACCTCTTCCAGCCCTTCTCATCCATGCTAAAGGTATGGCTGGTTTGCTTTTCAGATCCTGCTGGGGGTTTTACAGCTGGGATTTGTGGCTGTCTACCTGTCAGAACCTCTCCTTGGTGGCTTTGTGACCGGCTCCAGCCTCACCATTATCACCTCCCAGATGAAGTATCTCCTGGGACTGAAAATCCCTCGTCACGAAGGGGTGGGATCATTCATCCTGACCTGGGTTGACCTTTTCAGATACATTCAGAACACCAACATCTGTGACCTGGTCACCAGCCTGGTTGCTTTGGCCATCATAGTGCCTGTCAAGGAGATCAATGACCGGTACAAGGAGAAGATGAAGGCCCCGTTCCCCATAGAGCTGCTGGTGGTCATTGTAGCCACAGTCATATCTCACTACTTCAACTTTGAAACGCGATACAATTCTGATGTTTGTGGGGATATCCCCACTGGTTTCAGGAAACCCACTCTACCAGATATAAGCCTGTTTCCCAGCCTGGCAATTGATGCTCTGCCCATTGCTGTTATTGGCTTTGCCATGACCATCTCCCTGGCAGAAATCTTTGGCAAAAAGCATGGCTACACTGTCCGTGCCAACCAGGAGATGATTGCCATTGGCATGTGCAACCTGATCCCTTCCTTCTTCTACTGCTTCGCCAGCTCTGCAGCCCTGACCAAGACTCTGCTGAAGGAGTCCACGGGGACCCAGACCCAGGTCTCTGGCCTGGTCACCTCCCTGGTGCTGCTGCTGGTGCTGCTGTGGATTGCCCCACTCTTCTACTCGCTGCAGACCTCCATCCTGGGGGTGGTCACCATCGTCAACCTGCGGGGGGGCCTGAGGAAATTCCGTGACACCCCCCAGATGTGGCGGCTCAGCAGGCTGGACACGGTGGTGTGGTGGGTGACCATGCTGAGCTCCACCCTGATCAGCACAGAGATCGGGCTCCTCGTGGGCGTCTGCTTCGCTCTGCTCTGCATCATCTTCCGCACGCAGAGACCCAGGGCCGCGCTCCTGGGCAAGGTCAGCAACACGGAGATCTACGAGGACCAGTCCACTTACAAGCAGCTCAGCAGCATCGCCAACATCAAAATCTTCCGCTTCGAGTCGTCCCTCTACTACGCCAACAAAGACTATTTCAAGACTGTTCTGTACCAGAGAACTGGGGTAAATCCTGTTCTGCTGGCTGCTAAACACCCAAGGGTGCGGGCCCGGGCAAACACAGAGGCAGGCAACAGCAAGAGCTTTTTGGGCACTGGGTTTGACTGCCTGAAACAGGCCAAGAAAAGGGCTGAGAAACCTCCAGCAGATGCCTGTCCTCCCTCCATAGATATGCACACCTTAATCCTTGACTGTGGGGCAATGCAGTTCATAGATACTGTGGGTCTCTCTGTGCTAAAGGAGACATATCATGACTATAAGAAGATTGGTGTCCAGGTGCTCCTGGCCAACTGCAACCCCTCCATCCGCCACCGGCTCCGGGAGGGAGGCTGGGCTGGCGAGACAGGCAGTGAGGGTCAGCTGGCTTTCCACAGCGTCCATGATGCAGTGCAGTTTGCTGAGCGGTGGTACCATGTGCACCAGGAGGAAAGCAAGGAGAAACAGGATGCTCTCCTGGACCCCGAAGACCTGAACTTCCAGGTGTCTTTGTAGACCTGTGTGTGGGGAATGATTTCTGACGGGGAAGGGCTTGGTACGTACTCGAGAGCAGTTTCAGTGTTCGTGAAGTCAGAGCGCGCAGGAGAGACTGGTGATGATCTGCCAGCAGCGGCATGGGGCAGAAGGATGGGGGGAGAGATTTGAGGAGAGATTGGCAACAGGTAAATCGTCCGGGAGGCGTTTTTTGGGGTCCGTCGTGCCGGTGAGAGCCGGGGCGGCGCTTGAGGCGCTCCCGCCCTGCACTGCCCCGCGGGGGCGCGGGGGGGCGCGAGTGAGACGCGCTCGCGGCCGTCTCCTGCAACCCCGGCGGGCTCGGGGAATCCGGGATGGTTTGGGGGGGACAGAGCTAAAGGTCATCCCCTTCCAGCCCCCTGCCATGGGCAGCGACACCTTCCACTAGACCAGGTTGCTCCAAGCCCCGTCCAACCTGGCCTTGAACACTTCCAGGGATGGGGCAGCCACAGGGTCAAGATGGGACACTAAGGCAAAGGAAAGAGAAGCTGCAGGCAAGGTCAAGAGAGACATGGAGTTCCTGGAGTGGGTCCAGCCGAGGCTGCAGAGATGATGAAGGGACTGGAGCATCTCTCTTACAAGAAAAGGCTGAGGAAGCTGGGGCTGTTCAGCCTTGAGAAGAGACACTGAGAGGGGACCTCATCACTCTCTGTCAGTATTCCACAGTTGAAATTACAGACTTTCTCCCCCCCAAAAAAGGTACCGGAGATCACCAGCTGCTCTTCATAAACTGTAAATCAGGAGACCTGTGCCACAGCCTGCAAGAGCCACAGTTCTCCCAGTGCCTGGCAGGATCTGTGCTACCTGCACTGCACATCCACATGTGTAGCTGGATCCTGCCTGCAGCAGGAGACGTGGAGCTGTCACTCCCAGCAGTGGGGCAGGGCTTTCTGACACCTCCAGCACTTCCAGGTGTGCAGCTGGAGGAGCCTCAGCTTCATATTGGACACGGGTACCTGTCCTTTCTGCTGGGCTGGGACAGGGACAGGCGGCATCCTGCTGGCCCTGATGCTGCACCCCAGGGGTGAGTGTGTGCTCTAAGCTCTGAAGGCTCCACAGCACTGCCAAGTCCCAGAATAGCTTTTCTTCCACTAACTCCATCTGTAAAAACACCTTCTATGTTGAATATTTCTATGTGACTATTCCCCTGGCCTCATCCAAGCAAATGCAGCACCTTCCTCTGAAGGGAACTGTAGCTTGGAAGCCCAGGGACAGGAGACTGTTGTAAATAAAGTGTATGGAAAAGGAATCCTATGTCTCTGCTCAGGAATATGTCTTCTTATGCTCAAAAGATTATTTTGAATGTATTAAAGAGCATGGTGTGCCCAGCTGCTTGCAGGTCCTTGGGAAAAAGCTGTGTCAGGCAGAGCTGGATTGACTGAAGATCTCGGTGCAGGACCTTGCAGGGCTGCATGTACTCAGTGAGCTCTAGGTGTGGGTGCAAGCGGGGTGCAGCCCTCAAGAGCTTCAGCATCTCTCTCCAACAGTCCTCTCAGGCCATCACAGCATGAGGCAACTCCCCAGGGAGGTTGCATTAGCCATGACTAATGGGGCAGTTTTGTAGCTGAACAGCAAGTTAGTAAAGAAGTCTTGTTACCTGCAAGGATTATGACTATCCTTCCCCTTTGGAATAGCATTGCCATAATTTTCTTTATAAGACTCTTTATGGAGAAAATGAATTTGTTTTAGTTAGACTTTAGATGCATTTATGGTCTCAGTGGGGTCATAAAGCCACAGCAGGAAATAAAATCAGTGCTGATAATTCCTGGGCACAGCCTGGTACAGTTCAGAGCAGATGAGATTACGGTAAGAGCAGCAGGTCCTGCAGCCCCCTGCAATGGGACACAGCTGTTTTATGTGAGCAGGCTGGGAGAGCTGTGAAAATGACAAAGAGATACACAGCAGTTTTTATGGGATGCCTTCCCTTGGAATGGAGAGCTGGGCTGACAACCTCCTTCCCTCTCCTTTCCAGCCCAGAGTAGCCAGGATCTTGCTGGCAGACCTTGCCCTGTCTGCTCACCCATATCTTCCATCCCATCAACTCCAGCATCTCCTTCCAGCCTACAGTTCAAACATCCCAGGGACCCAGCATTCCTTCATTCCCCACAGATTGCCAGAGGAGCTCAAGGATAATTGCTGTTTTTATATCCATGAAGAGACAGAGGGTTGTACATGACACAGAGGAGAGACGAGGAGGGACGAACGACACAGTCCAAGGTCAGTTTATAGTCAGTGTTGTGGAAGATCAGGCTGCTTTCTCATCACCTGCAGCTCTTGGTGGAGGCAGATGTGAGCAGGAAGGTGAGCAGGTGATGGCACTGGCCAATTCCCAGTAAGGAAAGGGCTCCTGGTGAGGGGACAGGGCACTTGTGTGCCCCAGAACCCTGCTGCAACAGCCCAAGTCCCTCTGTTTGCCAAAGGGCCTCAATGTCTCAGCTGGGGATGGACCCCCCACATGTCCCACCCGAGGACCTGCCTCTGTGTCCCACTGGGAACAGGCTGCACTCCAGGCATCCTGCTTGCCTGTCCCTCCTAAAGCTTCACCAGGGGCCAAGGAAATGCCATGCAGCTGAAAGCAAATGTTATCCCCCCCAGTAAGCAGCTCACCTTGCTGTGGATCTATAAATACTCCAGGAGTGTGATAAACAGAGGATTGCTGCTAAGGCTTTGTCAGCTGCAGTTGGAGCTGACTGTGCAACTGTTAATTATGCCTCAGCAGCATCTGGACAGGTTTAAATCCTTTTGATGCTTTGAAATGTTCCCTCTGGGGAAGTTTAAGGAGTAAAGATTGTGGCTGGTGCTGATTGCTTTCCCTTCTAGAAAGTGTTGTTGCATGGAGGGCTGTTCTCCTTGCTCCCAGTGCCTGTTCCTGGAAACACACACTCTGTATAATGGCAAGAAGTTGCTTCTGCAGATCCCTAACTGCAGTAAAGCAGTTACTGTGCTGCCAGCACGTGCTTATCTACCCATGTGTGCTTTCCCTAGCAGACAAAACCGAGCTGGAAAGAAAGCAGTGAGCTGCAGGTGATGACACTGGATTTTCTGGGATAAAAATAAAGATTAGGGCCAGAATTAATACATCACTGGAGATAGCCTGGTGATGGAGGAATCAGCAGGCAGTGGCTTGGGATAACCTAGTCCGGGTGGGGGTGAAGAGCTCCTGGAGAATTTAGCACAAGCCCCCTTCTCCCCCAGCTGCCCGGGGAACTTGTCAGGCTCGTTGCACAGTCCAGGCTGGCTGCAGGTAGGGAGGGGGTGTCCTTGTACATCCCTGAAAGGGAAAACTGTGACATCACCCCACCACCCGCTCTGCTCCTCTGGGAACAGTCACATCACAGCCTGGTTCCCATAGGGAAAACAACAGCGCTCCAAAGGGAGAAGCTGTCAGCTCTCACAGAGGGAAGGAAAAAGAGAAAGGACAGGGATGAAATTATCTGAAGAGGAAAATTACTCTGTGCAAAATTTTTGCAATATCCAGGATCCTCACAAACAGCAGTAGCTGCTGGTCTCTGTGATCTCCTACAAGAATAGTGGAATCAGCCCGGTGCCTGGGAAATCTTCCTGCAATTGGTGTTTTGCTACTGAAGCAGCTCTACTCTTTGCCCTTTTTTCATCCTTGTCTGGATGGAGACGATTTGCTCCACTTTGTGTCTGATCATTTTCTGACTTTTAATCAGAAAGTCTGTCAGGGAGAGGAAGCAGATCAAAGTCCCTCCTTTTCACTGCAGGCCAAGGGCCTGTGCTGCCCAGCCAAGGCTCTTGTGCCACAAATCCTGCTACCCCCAGTCACTGCCCGGGAACAGCTGCTGCCCTTGCAATCTATGGCAAAATCCTGCAGTTTTGTCATGTTTCACAGTGTTAGGGCTCTTTGGTGGGTACCTGAACAGCCCTGGCTCCTGGGAAGTTCATGGAGAGAGCTGTTGCATCTTTAAAAAAAAAAAAAAAGTACATAGTCCTGCATAGTTATGGGAAAAAAGGTACAGGAAAGGTGCTTTTTTGAGTCTAAAGGCTGAAAAAAAGAGAGTCCAACAAGAAGAAAATGTTTCTTTTGTTTTCTTTCTTTAGTGACTGGGAAGTGTGTTTCAGCAGGTACAATTGTGGTTTCTATATAGAGACAAGATTAAATGTATTGTAAAAGATCTGCCAAGCCAGACCACAGCTGAGACTCACAAGGCAGGCAATGGATAGCAGATACTAAAGTTCACTAAAGCAAAGGAGAAATAACAGTGGTGAATGCTGACAGCTCAAAGTTGTTTCTATTTCAGACCATTCTTGCCAGGGAATCTGTTCATCACTTTTCTGTGTTAAATTACTCTATTATTTTTAAAAAAAAGAACATTTAATTGAATGTTTGAACTTCCAATAAATGCTGGCCCTCTCTTCTAAGTCCCTATTTACTTTAAATGTGACAGCTGGCAGTGTCATGTCTCCTGCCACCACTGCTCTGCCCTGTGGGCAGAGTGGGCAGAGCGTGGGTGCTGGGCAGCTCGTGGGGATGGGGTCATGCAGGGACAGGGCAGCTCTGTTTGTGTCAAAAATAAACAAAAAGCCACACCTAAGGCAGGTAGAGATTGTGTGGATGTGCCAAGGGGAGCGCGGGCTCACCAGCCACTGGATGGCATCGTTGTTTCACATGGATCCGAGCTCTCGGGCTGCCCTGGCCCCTGCCCTGGAGCCGCTGCTGGAGGCTGGGCACCAGCTGGTTTTTGGGAGACTGTGGTTCCCCGGACGGTGGTGTGACAGTTCATGGCCTGAGTGATGCCGTGCGTTGGCAGATCTGCAGGGCAGAGGGCACTGGAAGATCGTGGTCTGTGCCACGCTCAGCTGTCCCCGTGGGTGCCACCACTCCGGTTCCAGCTCCCTGACCTTGGAGACTGGCTGGATGGTGACACAGCCTGGGGTCCCCTCCAGTCGGGGTGACAGGGGTGCCACCTTCCTGTGTGCCCTCTGCCATCCTGACACAGACCTCAGGGAGCTCACGCCACTGCTGAATTCCCCCCCGCCATGTGGTGCCTTTGGAAGAGGGAGGACTTGAGACTTGGCAGCTGAGCAGCCATGGCTTAGGTCAGTCAGGGCCCAGGGGCCGGTGGCATTCATGTGAAATATAGACACACTGGAGCCCTCCGTGTTTACTCAGGGCCTGTACTCACCTCATTCTACCCTTCCTTCCACCCACACCTGTGCAAACCACCGTGCCCAAAAAGCACGGTCCATGTGCAGGAAGGGAACATCTCCGTGGGGAAGAGTCAGCTCAGGCAGTGCAGAGGGAAGAGCCCAGCAGGTGGGAAAGTGCCTGCAGTGGGTGGGAACGTCCTTGCAGTGGGTGGGAAGGTGCCTGCAGGGGTGGGAATGTCCTTGCAGTGGGTGGGAAGGTGCCTGCAGCAGTAGTTGCAGCAGAGGATGCCAAACAGGTA